TCTCGGATGCGGTTACATTTTTCTTAATAGAACGTTTCGAATTGCGTCAATTTCCAGAAGCTAATGGAAACATTTTGGCACACATTTTCGCTTTGCGACACCGTGCATCAATATTTCCACTCCTAAGTGCGCATTTTTAGTAAAATAATTGCAGAAAATGCTTCTTTGGAGTTCAGTTGCATAATGGAAGTGATATAAAGGAAAATTCTCCGTGCTTGCGAGTAATTACTGACCTTAGCAGGATCTCGGCAAAACTCGAAAAAGCACTCCAAAGTTTTCACTGAGTAACTGGTAGGCGTTCGATGTTAAATTGCTTAAATGCGTATGCTTTTCTGAAGGTGAACGTTCAGTTTGTCATGAAACAGCTGGCCTGGGTGAAATCCCATTAGACCATTGAATGAGCTTTGAATGTTGCCGCTGATGTTTTTTTGTCGCGCTCGATTAACCGCTCAAGCATCCGTGGTTGCCGGATTTATTGAATTAAAAAAATCCAGCCCGGAAATCCTTAAAAAGTCCATCAGTTCACTTACTAAAAACTCGCCCTTAAAAAGATATTAAATCTCCAAAACTGAAAATTTAGTTCCCAAGCAGCTGAAGGAAATCCAGCGCTGATTCACCCCCTAAGCGAAAAATCAATACGCCAAACTGTACCCTTATGGCGAGCGCCCTCCTGCTTAATACATTCCCGCAGAATAACGTGCCCTCATCAGTGCAGACGGACAAACAAAATGTTGCCAGAGGCCAACAACTACGCGATTCTCTATCACAGATCGTACAAAGTGAATCCGGAAGGATTTCGGTAAGTCCAGAGAAGATCAGCCATGGTTCGTGCAGTTGGTAAACATCGGGGATTGATTGCAGGAAAAGGCTGGACTGGAAAAAAATGAAGAAAAAGAGCGCAAAGGCGCGATCCAAGAAGAAACTTGAGCTGCTCTTCGATAACGATTTGCAGGCTTCGCCAGAGCTGGAATTGCCTCCAAACGCCTCTACTTTTGCGGTTTTTGCCTCTGTTCGCTTAGCTGTTTTGGACAGGTATTTTGCTTGATTCCCGCAAAGTTTTGCATAAAATTGCTTGTTTTTATTAGGTGGATGCGAACGACTACACAGGAACATTTGCAAAGCAGTTGCAGTTTTCCCCTGGTGGACCAGAGCGAATTTGAGAGCGACACGGAAGACAACACGCAAAGCAGCACTTACTTACCAATGAAAGTCTCCAAAGTGGTCGGTTTAGGTTGGTGAAAATGCGAATTTTTGTGCTTGAAAAGGGTCGTTTACAATTTTTTTGCAGGTTTAAAGTCGGTTTTTGAGCTGATTAAGGAAAGCCGCGCTTCGCATCCAGGCTTGTGCACCCGAGCTTTACTTGCTCTACTTGATGTTTTACAAGGTAAAGGTTTAATTAATTTGTGTTGTAAAATCTCGCAAAAATTCACTCTGAAGAAGGGGCTTTTTACATGTAGGCGAAAACTAAGCTGGAAACTTGGACTTTCCTTTTGATTGAGTTGAACATTTGATCAATATTTAAAGTTTTTTCAAGGTTTCCGTCTCCCCTTGTAAACGTCTGGGTTTCAGTCAAAATGTGAAATAAAAATGTTCATAGCGTTTATTTCATATTACGTTTCGGCGACACAACAGTGCCATCATCAGATTAAAATTCAAAACCAACCCATAATTGGGAAACATTGGATTCTTTATAGGCTTGCAAAAAAGCTAATATGTTTTTTGTCAGTAATTGCTCGCAAGCACGGAGAATTTTCCTTTATATCACTTCCATTATGCAACTGAACTCCAAAGAAGCATATTCTGCAATTATTTTGCTAAAAATGCGCACTTAGGAGTGGAAATATTGATGCACGGTGTCCCAAAGCGAAAATGTGTGCCAAAATGTTTCCATTAGCTTCTGGAAATTGACGCAATTCGAAACGTTCTATTAAGAAAAATGTAACCGCATCCGAGACAGACGCTTTTAAAGTTTAACATTTTTGCTTCTAATCTATTAGCACTGTTTTTCAAAATCAAAGTATGCAAAAATTGCGGTCCTAATTTAAGTAGTTTTTGCGCAATTTTACCATTTTTGCTTCTGCATTTTTAGAGGTTAGAACATGTTTGTACAGACTTGACAGAAGAATAGTCACCCAAACGCTCTATTAAAAAGGTATTTTAATATTTATTAAGATATTTTTTACCATTTCTTAGCTAAAAGAAGCTCTTGAACTTTGGCGGTTCTTATATGTGGACATTTTTGCTTCGAACTTTTGAGAGGTTAGCAATTTTCATAAAACTTAAACAGCTATAGACGCTTTGGTAAGCGCTCTAACGAAAAGGTCCTAATGGTTATTTAAGTATTTTTACTGGTTTCCAACATAGACACTTTTAAACGTCGAAGGCTTGAAAAATTCTTTGCTTCTCATTGTTTAGAGGTTAGGAACTTTCCACACAATCTTCAAAAACAAAAATGAATCCTGACGGAAATTCAACCTTTCTATGAGAGAAAATCTCATGCATTTTTGAGGCAAGTTTGGAATTTTTTTTCGCAAATTTTGGAGGTTAGGAATTTTTGTAAAGGCTGAACAAGATAATAGTTTTTCAGACTCCATCAAAAAGGTTCTAATAGTTATTGAGAATTTATCTGCGGCTTTCTACATAAAAGCTCTTAAAGTCCGGCGGATCGTTTTCCATAACTTTGGCTCCTAACTTTTTAAAGGTGGGGATTTTTCAACAAATTCCAAAAGTCGGTTATAGTTTGTGACACGCTCTATCGAAACAGTTCCAATGACTATTTAAATATTTTCATCGGTTTCCGAGGTAGAAAGTTTTCAACATCGACAGCTCTAAAACTTTAACATTTTTGCTTCTAACTTTTTATAGGTTAGGAATTTTTCATCAACTCTATGTAAACAAAAATGAATTCTCCGACGCTCTGTTGAAAAGGTCCTCATCATTATTTACGCATTTTTATAAAAATTTGGCTTTTTCACTTTTTTGCCATTCTGGCTTTTCAATTTTCAAAGGTTAAGTATTTTTTCACATATTCGACATCAAAAGAGTTTTTGTTGCACTTTTTCCAAAAGGTTCTCACAGTCAAGGCGCTTAAACTTCT